AGCCCTTGACCCAGTTTGAGAATAAATTCAAGGACCTGACAGAACCAGAACTCCAACATCCGTCACTGCAGCTTGGCTCCAACTCTCCATCTAAATATAATAAATATTCATATTCTTACTAACAGGCTTCAGTAACAGATTGTGCTCTTAAAAAGTCCTTGGATGAGTCAGAAAAGCAGCGCAGCGTTTTCCTGAGACTCAAACTACACTGGTTTTAATCTGCAGCAGCAGAACTGGTTCTGGTCGGCATCCAGAACCAAACCTGGAGAAGCAGTTTTCATTTTTATATTCAGAATAATCAAGTGGGATCAAATGTTTCATGAACGATGATAAACATAGTTTCACTTTTTAAAATTCTGATTCCTATAGCGACAATTATGTAAAATAAAATTATTCATGAATATGAAAAATAAATTTGTCCTCATCTTGACAGAACTGGCAGAAACCAAACGGTTCATAGATTTATTTTTCAGTTTTAATTTAAAACCCATTTAATAGAAATTGGATAATAATTTGCACCAGCAGTGCCAGTCCTTCCTCCGTCAATTATTTGGTTTATTTCAAATTAAAAATACTTTATTGATCCCAAAGCGAAATTAAATAATTGTCAGTCAGTTTCAATATTAGCAGAATAAAGAGAGAATAAAAAGAAATGTAAAAGATAACAGATAAGTTGGACCTGGACCGGCGCCGACCCGCTCAGAGGAAACGATGAATATCTGGATTAATGAGATTCAAATTCTAGAAGTGATTAGTTTATGGGTTTACTGACAAGTATTAACTAGTCAGAATTACAGCTTCAGTTGGAATTAATGTTGTTTTTTGAAAATAGATTGCGCTCCAAGAAGAGGGAGAAACCGCCATAACTCTGGAAACTCGCTTAGCTTGTTGCAGGTCAGATCTACAAAATGTTTCTATACACCGTTTGAAGAAGAACGCCATAACCTCTGATAATATATAAGATGTACATGTTTTCTCAATTGTTGTCCAAATTTATTTTTCTAAATGTCTAATTTCCTTGAATATGAACCCATAACAGTTTGATGAAATGTATTGATTGATTGATTGATTGATTGATTGATTGGTGAACTGTGTCCAGCGGTTGGACAGGATTTCTCATGCTGAATACTTGACCCACTTTACAGTAATATGTCATTAAAACAAAGCCTGATATTGAAAAACAAACCTGTTTTGGTTAGTGAACATTAGGAGATGATCAATTATTAATATTGGATCTCTGATCAGATGAAAACTGAGTTCTGCTTCATATGATTCAACACTAAAACATGCAAGGGAGGCTTTCTTTGCAGATGTCATAAATAAAAACATGAACAATGCTGGAGCTTTATTTGCAACAGTTGACAGGCTCACAAACCCTCCTATGACGTTTCCACCTGAATCCAATCTAATGCTGATGGAACAAGTTTCCAGATTCTTTTCAGAGAAAATTCAAAAAATCAGAGGATTAATCTGCACATTGACTCTAAAGCCAGAACCATTGCTGTACCCAAACAGAACAAATACAGGAAAAATGACCCAATTTCAACTACTTCATTATAAAACCCTAGAAGAAATTATAAGTCAATTAAGTTCAAGCTCCTGCTGTCTGGATGTTCTAGATCTATAACTCTAGAACATTTCTTTAAGAAAGTCCTGCCTGTTATTGTTACTGATCTGATCCTAATAGTAACTCATCGCTTACATCAGGCGTTTTCCCCCAGGCTTTGAAAACAGCAGTCATCAAACCACTGCTAAAAAAGAACAATCTGGACAAATCACTACTGCAGAATTACAGGCCGACCTTTGACCTTTGATTCATCAGCAAAGTTATTGAAAAAACTGTGGACAATTAAATAGTTTCCTCATGATGACCAACTGCTTTGACTCTTTCCAATCTGGTTTTCATGGTTACCACAGCACGGAGACTGGCCTAGTCAAAGTATTCAATGATATCCATATAAATACAGACAGTGGGAGAACCACGGTGCTGGTTCTGGTTCTGGTTCTGTTGGACCTCAGTGCAGCTTTTGACATATTACTGAATCAACTGGAGAGTTGGGTTGGACTCTCCGGTTCAGAGCTCGACTGGTTTGAATCCTACATAAAGAACAGGGATTTCTTTGTTTCAATGGGAAACTTCTCATCAAAGAGGTCAAAGGTCACATGAGGGGTACCCCAAGGTTCAATCTTAGAACCCCTCTTATTCAATATTTATATTCTCCCACTTGCTCAGGTTATAACAGGAAATATTAGCTACCATAACTATGTGGATGACACACAGCTCTACATTACGATGTCACCAGGTGACCTTTGACCCCATCCAATCACTGAATAAATGTTTAGAACAGATAAATGTGTGGATGTGCCAAAACTTTCTCCAACTGAACAAAAATAAAACTGAAGTCATTAATTTTGGACCTAAAGAGAAACGATCTAGAGTTATAGATCTAGAGCTATAGATCTAGAACTATAGATCTAGAGCTGTAGATCTAGAGTTATAGATCTAGAGTTATAGATCTAGAGCTATAGATCTAGAGCTATAGATCTAGAGCTGTAGATCTAGAGTTATAGATCTAGAGCTATAGATCTACAGTTATAGATCTAGAGCAATAGATATAGGTTTATAGATCTAGAGTCAATGCACAGCTTCAGTTATTACAACTAAAACCAGCAATCAGCCCGTAACCTGGGAGTAGTGATGGACTCTGACCTGAACCTCCAGAGCCACATAAAGACAGTTACAAAGTCGGCCTTCTATCACCTGAAGAACATCTCCAGGATTAGAGGACTAATGTCTCAGCCAGATCTAGAGAAACTCATTCATGTGTTTATCTTTAGTCACATTGATTATTGTAACAGCGTCTTCACAAGCCTGTCCAACAAATCAATCCTCCAGCTGCAGCTGATCCAGAAGCTGCTGCTCCTGTTCTCACTAAAACCAGGAAGATAGAGTCATAACAGCAGTTTTAAAGTCCCTCCACTGGCTCCCTGTAGCTCAAAGAATAGATTTTAAAATACTGTTGTTAGTTTATAAATCACTGAACGGTTTAGCACCAAAATACATCAAAGATCTGCTGTTGTTGTATCAACCTTCCAGACTCTCAGGTTCTGGTTCTGGTTCTGGTTCTGCTTTGCATCCCCAGAACCAGAACCAAGAGAGAGAAGCAGCTTTCAGCATCTATGCACCAAACATTTGGAACAAACTTCCAGAAAACTGTAAAACAGCAGAAACCCTGACTTCCTTTAAATCTCAACTAAAAGCCAGTTGATTATAGAGTTTTATTTGAAATGTAATCAATTATAAATTTAATGATGGAACAATGTATTGTTTATTCTATGATGCATGATTTTGTGTTTATGATGTAAAGCACTTTGAAATAGCTGTTTGCTTGAGTCTGAATCATACTTGAACATTTCCATCACATGCTTCAAATTGCAATCATCTGATGGTTCTCAGCTTCAGGTATGTTGTAAATGCTCTCGGCTTCTCCACTCAGGCCCATACTAATAAATGAATATGTATTTATGCTAACGTTTACGTCTGACCTTCCGTTCTTATTTGAAAGCGTCTGCATATTTAACGATCCCAGCATGATGGATGAAATGAGTTCATTCGGTCGTCTGTTGGCAGAAACATGCAGCATGAGTTCCTTACAGATGTTGAGGTGCGGCGCTGTGAGTTTTCATTGATTAAACTCGTGATGCATGAGCCACTGAAGGCCTGAGCAAATGTGCTCAGAAAAACGTGTTCATTTATTATTTGGAAATTAAATGCAATGCCGCCTTTGAGGATTCTAGGTTTCAGTTAATATGAACCAGAATGAAGTGAAGAGAAGTGCTGATTCAAGACGTGCCGCTAGTTTCCTGTTGAGGGCGATGTGGCTCATTCCCACTCAGAGGCCGTTAATCTACCGACATTTTCCTCCAGTGAGTCTGCTGAAACACCTGGTTCCTCTCCACGCCTGTCCAGTCTTTGTGACAGAAACATTTCCAAGCAACTGAATTTGTGGTTGCATTCTGCCAGGGTGTTCCCCGCCCAGGGTGTTCCTCGCCCAGGGTGTTCCTCGCCCAGGGTGTTCCCCGCCCAGGGTGTTCCCCGCCCAGGGTTCCTCCCCAGGGTGTTCCTCGCCCAGGTGTTCCTCGCCCAGGGTACTAGGGGCGGGTGTTCCCCGCCCCTGGGCCAGCAGAGCGGTCTCTGCCCTGCAGCCCTGCAAAGACGAGGCGGTTCAGGCGATTGTTGGACGAAGGGATTCATGTGACTTTTTTTCTTTCAGGCAGCTGATCAACACGATGCAGCAATACGTGGTGGAGGGGCAGCTCTGTGTAAAAAATTCCAGGAAAAATTTCTCTAGCATCTTATTAAGAGGACTACAGACCAAACGATGTGGGAAAATATTTGATGATCAAATATTTTGATAATCTTGTGTTTGGAAGCAGCTGATATTAAAGTAGTTTCGTGTTTTTGTCTATTTGAATGTCTTTGGTTTTGTTGGAGTCCAAAATGAATGGCGTCTGGCAACAAGCGAACCCTAACCCTAGCCCACCCACCTAACCCTGAACCCTAACCCTGAACCCTGAACCCTAACGAGCAAAACGAGGAAACGGAGGTTTGCGGTTTTATTGATGCTATACCAACAAGGCCATAGTGATTTGTGCCACAGTCTGAAGCGTTTTCATGAGTTTAAGATCTGATGCAGTTTATCTGCCTGGTTTGGAGAACGTCCATTTGTCCAGTTATTGATCAATCATTGACTAAATGGGTTGATGATTATTTCAATAATCAAATAATGTGATTACTGCTTTCAGCCTTGATTGACGGTAAATGGATTCCACATTCTGACCCAATCGATACCGCACCAATAAGCTCCATTGATTGATTACTTGAAGAATTTATTGTTTGAGTGATGGATTTATTTATTGACTGATTATTGGTTAATTAATGCATTGATTTGATTGATTGATCGATTGCTAACCTGTCTCTCCACAGTAACTGCCCTGCTCGCTGGCAGCCGCTCTGGCCCGAGCCACCGCAGACAGCCTGCTCGGTCCGATCTGTCCGTCCAGAACCTCAACAAGGCCGTAGAAGACGGCGCCGACCTGTTGCCACGTGAGTCGCCGGGGAATCGCTCTCTCAAACAAATTAGGTCTCGCTCTCAGTTGGACCCTCACACTCAGCCGCAAACCTCCAGGGCCGCGTCCCGCTTCTCCTCTCTGGGTGCAGTAAGTGGATTTGACCACTAGAGGGCGACAGGAAGCCGATTCCCTCCTTTATGGTTTAGATCAGCGTTACTCACGTTCATGTATTCATCTGTTTTGTTTCTGTTACGTAATATTTGAAATTCAACACCTGTAATTCATAATCTTCAAAATGAAAAGACAAACTAATGCAACGCTAACATTTTGCAGTAATGTAGCTTCGTTCCAACCACAAACTTCAGTTTCATTTTAATCCAATGCAAAAAACAACAGAAAATAAATAATAAAAAATGTATATGTAGATATTAAGTACAATTCTGCAACTCATGACATATTTATTTGTCTACAGCCTCCTTTACGCTGGTGAATCAAAGTCAAATTTTACTGATTACTTAAATTTTCTGTTTGAAGATTTAATTTGTGGAAAATTTGGACTTTTTTCATAGTTCAGTCACACAGGTTTACAACTTGTCTTTATTTTGACTTTGAATTCAGGTTATATTTAATATTTATTTATTCATGAGGTGTTTATTTATTTTTTAATTAGGGAATCATTTTTCCCTGTGATGAAAAGCAGCAGTGATTGTCTGACACAAGATTATCAGAAAGTTTTAAAATGCCTGAAGATCCAAAACAAACAGGTCAAAAATGTTTTTGCTGTAACGCCTGGAATCTTCAGACTAGTAAATAATTATGCAAAATCAATTCTTTAGAGATCACATCTAAATTATAGATGTGCATTTTGATTATTTGCTAATAATCAAAATGCGATTATTGGCACCTCTGGTGCAAAAACGTCAAACTAAACAGCCTCTATGGAGTCCCAAAGATGCCAAATAGCAACAACTGTTGATGTTTTCTTTAACTCCTGCTTTTCAGATACATTTGGAAACTCACAGCTCCACTCATTTTCAACTTTTCCAATCTAATGACAGATAAAATACACCAAAAAAAACTTTCAAAAAAGATCATGTAGAATTAAGACTTAATAAAAAAAACTGGACAGCATTCATGCTCTTTGTTTATAGCGTTGTAAAATTGTTCATGGGAATAAAATCTTCAGCAGTTTTTAATGTCTTGCAAGTGAGGAGGAAAAGCTTTTCCTGACTCGTTGTGCGTTGGTTGCAGAGATGGAGTCGGTGAAGATGGCGCGGTTGGTTTTTAACAGACTGTTTGAGATTTGCTGCCTGTGGCAGAAGGAGCTGCCGTTCCGCCGCCGCCCGCAGCCATACTACGAAACGTCCATCCACGCCATCAAGAACATGAGGCGCAAGATGGAGGACAAGCACGTCATCATCCCCGACTTCAATTCACTCTTCAACATTCAGGTAAAATTTATTTAGAACCAGGTCCATTTTCTTAATCATTTTTACAGAATTTTGATTTAGCAAATGTTATAAAAAGTTACTTGTCTGGTTGCAGGTGTGCTGAGACATTTGCACTAAAACTAGAGAAACAAAGTCGGTAAAACATAAAAAAAAATAAAACAATACAAACCACAAAGTGATCAGAGCAAAAACAAAATGAAAACCAAAAACTTTCTCTGAACAGTTTTTTTTTTCAAGAAAAATGAAATGACTGATGTTGTTGAATGTTTTTTTGAGCTCTACGTTTTGATTTTCTACCTGCAGATGTAAACAAACAAGCAGATATTTGTTTGCATGATGGGAAAGAGACGGAGCCACGATATGAAATCAGGTGTTGATCTGAGCAGCACCTCATCAAGGCCAGTCGCTCCTGGGAGCATTTCTACAGAGCTGCAGCTCTAGAGAAATGCTCCACCCAGGAGAGGCTATTTTAAGATGGCTCTATAGGAGCCGCGGTGTTAAAGCTGAAGGCCAGCATGGCGTCTTCCTCTGCTGCTGCTTTTCCCACAGTCAGAAACTTATTGAATGAATGTCAGAGCTGAAGCTTTTCTGTTTTGCCTCCCAGGATCAGGAGGAACAGGCGTTCTTTGCTGTGTTTGACGGACACGGCGGCGTGGATGCAGCTATTTATGCTGCCAACCACCTTCACGTCAACCTGTTCCACCAGGAATCCTTCAGCCAGGATCCCGCGACGCTCTGTGCCGCGCCTTCAAGCTGACGGACGAGCGCTTCGTGAAGAAAGCCTCACGAGAGGTACCCCTAACTTGACCTTTAGCCCCGACCCGTCCTCCATCAGAAGCCCATCTGCTTTTACTCACAATGAAATTTTTATTTTTTACAGTGTCGTCTCATCTGCAACTAATGATTATTTTTGTCATCGATTATTCTGACAATTAATTGCATAAAAACATTGTCTTCAATGTTAGAAATTCATTTAAAGATGTAAATAAAACAGAGTTTTCAATGATATGCACATTTTATTGCCTAAAATGCACTGACAGCTTTCCTTCACTGAATGTTTGATCATTTATACAAACGATGAATCTGCACCCTCAGAGGGTCCTGGAGGTTCTGGGAGTTCGCCCAATCAGTCTACATGTGTTTTGTGGACTTGGAGAAGGCGTTCGACCGTGTCCCTCGGGGATCCAGCTCTGCTTTTTGTGCATGATGTGGTCCTGTTGGCTTCATCAGGTCGTGACCTGCAGCTCTCGCTGGAGCGGTTTGCAGCCGAGGGTGAAGCGGCCGAGATGAGGATCAGTGCCTCCAAATCCGAGGCCGTGGTCTTGAGCCGGAAAAGGGTAGAGTGCTTCTCCTGCCCCAAGTGGAGCAGTTCAAGTATCTCTGGATCTTGTTCACGAATGAGGGAAGAAGGGAGCGGGAGATCGACAGGCGGATTGGCGCAGCGTCCGCCGTGAAGCGGCGCTGTACCGGTCCGTCGGGGTGAAGAGAGAGCTGAGTCAAAAAGAGAAGCTCTCGATTTACCGGTCGATCTACGTCCCTACCCTCATCTCTGGTCATGAGCTTTGGGTCATGGCTGAAAGAACGAGATCGCGGATACAAGCGGCCGAAATGGGTTTTTTCCGTAGGGTGGCTGGGCTCCCTGAGAGAGAAGCGCAGTCATCCCACCGGGAGGGACTCAGAGTAGAGCTGCTGCTCCTCCACATGGAGAGGACCCAGCTGAGGCTCAAGCATCTGGTCAGGATGGAGGCTCCCTGTGAGGAGTTCAGGTCCCACCGGGAGGAGAGGAAGACCAGGATGGATGATCCTTGTCTGGCCTGGGAACGCCGTGGGATTCCCCCGGAGGAGCCGGAACAAGAGGGACGTCTGGGCCTCCATTCTTAGGCTGCTGACCCCGCGACCCGCTCTGGATGAACAGAAGAAAATGGATGGATGGAATCTGCAGCTTAAAGGAGAAAAGTTCAATATGCTGCATTTATGATCTGGGGATTATTTTCTTTAATAATTAGATAGCAATGGGAAATTAATAAATTGATTTTCTTTTACAGAATTTGGACTTGGTAAAGCTAAAAGTGATCATAGACTTCTGACAAGGAATATTTACAAAGAAGATTTTTCAACTTGAATACAAAATGCATCAATTTTCTACAATTTTGGTTGAATAACTGCTGAGTTTTTTCTTTTTTTGTACTTCAGTTTATTAATCAATAGCAAATTAGTTGACAGTCGATTTATCGTGGTTAATTTGATGAATTGTTTCCTCCCTGGTTCAGAATGTGTCGTGTTTTACTGCTGAAATGTCATAATTTGGTTCTCCTGTGTGTCTGCGGCAGCACCTGCGCTGCGGAACCACCGGGGTGGTGACGTTCCTGCGAGGCCGGACGCTGCACGTCGCCTGGCTGGGAGACTCCCAGGTGATCCTGGTGCGGAGAGGGCAGGTGGTGGAACTGATGAAGCCACACAAACCAGACAGAGAGGTGACACACGTCTCTTCCTTCACAGATCAAGCAAATCGCTTTTCTGTAAACTTAGCAAAGAGTCGTTGTTAAAGGAAAATGTCCAGTGGTGGTCAGGGGAAAGTCAGTCATGAACGGTAGAATATGCAGATAAGTTGGAACCTAAGATGAAAAATTCACGTCTTCCATGTTTTTGATCAAAAACTTTCCATTATTAAGTCACTGTGCTGTTACCTAGCAACCACAGCTGATCTCCAGTGGTTGGTCAGCTGGTTTTTCCGCTGTACAATGGCTGCTGGAAAAAACCCTAAGAGTTTAGTTGTTGACTTGCTGCATTCAGGTTGGTTGTGCAGCAGGCTCCACTGCTGCTTTTCAAAGATGTATAGTTGTATAATTGTGCATCTGTTGGGAGTGTAAATGTTGATTTGGGGGCGTGGCCAGCAGCAGCTTGTCTGAATTTAAAGGGACAGAGACCTTAAAACAGCTCAGACTGAAACCTGATTAAGAATAATTCAGTCTAAAAATATAATGAACAGGTTTTGAATAGGCCATAGACAGAGCCTGACCTGTTCAAAGAAGGTTCATCTTTTTCCATATTCCAGTTTTTACATTTGGGATCTGGTTGAAGTTTCTGAGCCTTAACTAGAATGACATCCAGCAACTGGCTGGTTCTGTCTGCATTATTCTGCCTTATTTTTAACAGCATATTGGCTGCAGAGCTTTCCTCCAATTCGGTTCTTAGTGCTCAGGGTCATGAGTCAGCGATTTTAACATCGCCACAATAAATCAGCCCTGGTGTCCTTAAAGGGTGGTTTGGCCAAAGCAAACACGAATCTGATTGTGTTTTCCTCCACAAAGGTCTGAAAAGCAGCTGCTGAAACAGTCGGCTCACTGTTTACAGACCGGCCACAAAACGCGTCCAGCTTCTATAGAAACTAACGTACAGAAGCGTTACACTGAGGCTAGTGCTACCCAAGCCTGTTAGCTTGGACAGCTGAACCAATTTTTTTAAACATATTTTATGGAAATAAATAATGTTTGGAATGACACTTTGTATTTTCAGTCCAGAAACAGAAGCGCTGTCTGACTCCAACCCAAAAAACATCAATGTTTTTTGAGCGTTCCTTTAGGGCAAAACGAGGCAGATGGAGAAATCTCAGGGTTGACGTTCTGCAGTTGATGAGCATTTTTGTTTGTTTGCAGGACGAGAAGCAGAGGATCGAGGCTTTGGGAGGATGTGTGATTTGGTTTGGCACATGGAGGGTCAACGGGAGTCTGTCTGTATCCAGAGCAATAGGTACAGTGAAGTTCCTGCAGTGCATTGTGGGAAGGCAATACTTTTCACCTTAAATGTCAAAGTACAAATAAGAAACTGCCAGGAAGGAGGAGAAGACTTTACTGCCATCAGTCTAACCCGAAACTTGATTTAGAGATTCAGTTAAACTGAAATTTGTCACGACAACAAATTTTACTGAGCGATTAATTGCTTCAAAAATTATTGCGATAAACGATAATATTGTTTGAAGACAATTAAACTGATTTAATGGTAATGACATAATGACGCAAGCGACATTCTGCCAAAAATAAATACACTTTATTTTCAAAAGAACATTTGACTCCGGGTCTGGAAAACAAAACAATCAAAAACAAAAATAAAATTGATTCTCAAAGTCAATTTTGTTCAATTCATGAACAAAAATACAGTTGAATAAAAACTAAACAACATAAAACCAAAGTGGAAATAAAAACTAGTTTCAAGCAAAAGAGTGCAGATTATGAAGTGTGTATACTATCTAACCCTTCAATAATCATTCCATTCAGTTTCCTGATCACCTGATGCAACAGTTCCCTCAAGCCCAGTTCAAACAATAAGATTTTATTTTTGTCCAGATTTTCACCTTATTTCAATCTTTGAACAACCAAACTTCTTAGATTGTCACTTGCATCATCCTGGAGTGCACTGGTGCCCAAACCGCTGGTCCACGGCCTGGTACCGGTCCATGGACCAATTGGTACCGGGCCGTGCAAGAAATAATGAAGTATTTCTGTTTTATGTACTTTTTGACTCTGGAGGGTCTTTTATTTTGAAAATCCTTTACTGGATTCTCTCGGTTGCGTTTTGCCGCCAACATTGATCCACAAGCAGCAAAATGAACAGAACCAGATCAGATTCTTTGGAAAGTTTGTCTGCAGGCCCAGAGAGGCAGGAGGATGGGTTTATGCCGGTGGGTTGATTCCCACAGTCCAAGCTGCTCTGCATGATCAGGTGACCGGATGCTGATGAGGCGATGAAGCTTCAGACTGCGTCACCAAAAACTCAGGATACAAAGGAGATTATTTTGTCCTTTCAGAATAGAGTTCACAGAACCTTTTCAAGATAAAAGTCTATTTTAATGGTTTAATTATTACAAATGGATTATTTGACCTAACCTGAGTTAAGCGTCAAGCACGTCAAAAACGTATCTTGAACAATAACGTGAATGTTTTGACAGGCGACTCGGAGCACAAGCCGTACATCTGTGGGGACGCGGACCACGGCATCTTCCCATTGGACGGCTCAGAGGACTACCTGATCCTGGCCTGCGACGGGTTCTGGGACACGGTGAGTCCCGACGAGGCGGTGCGCGTCGTCAGCGACCATCTGCAGGAGAACGCCGGCGACACCACCATGGTGGCCCACAAGCTGGTGGCCTCCGCCCGAGACGCAGGCTCCAGCGACAACATAACTGTCATCGTGGTGTTCCTGCGCGACCCGCGCTCCCCGCCGCCCGCCTGCACGGAGGACGAAGAGGAGGGCGTGGCAGAGGAGCCGGTGGAGGAGGAGGGCGTGGCCGAGGCGGAGGAGGAGGAGCAGGAAGAAGAGGAGGAAGAAGATGAAGCAATGAGAGTAGAGCGAGACGGAGGCGAGGGAGGCAGCGCCGCAGACGTGGGAGGGAAAAGCCGCGGCGGCTGGCCGCTGCAGCAGTGCTCGGCTCCGGCGGACCTCGCCTACGAAGACCGCACGGACTCATTCACGGACAGAACCAGCCTCAGTTTGCTGGGGCCGTCACTGGAGAGCCACATCAGCCCCAGCAGCTACCGGGCAGCGCGCCCTCTGAGACGCAGGCCACGCTTCCCGTTCCAGCAGCCCGGCGCCACCGGCTTCACGGACCCACTGTGGCCCCAAACGGCCGCGCTTTTAGGCCAAGCCTCCAGGCCAAGCCGCAGCCGGGGCCACGTCAGCCGCCGATCGGGTCGGAGGTGGCCGAGCAGATCCAAAGAGCTGCTGGGTCTGATACCGTCGGGCCACACGCAGAGTTACGCCTCCTGGAGGCCTGGAGTGGCGGTGCCTCACCTGCCCTATGATGCCACCATCTGAAGGGAGGCGGCGCCCTCTGCTGACTCCAAGTGGCGTTTCTGAGTGACGCTGTCTCTCAAGAGCAAACACTGATTGGCTCAGTCCCACTGCAGGAATTTGTCCAAAATCATTATCATTATTAAAAAGCTGAGCAACAAAATAAGAAATTGAGGGTTCAACTTCTTTTCAGAATGAGTTACAATTTTTTTGTTTTGAACTATTTTTCTTAGTCTCACATTATTTCAGGAACTAAAACGGATTTTGTTTTGAAGCATCAACATTCGTCCTTTCCTACTTATAAACCTCTGAAAAATGGCTAAAGCAGATGATCTTATTTGAAATATAAGCAGACTTCCTGTGTTAAGAGAAGGCGCCATGTAGACGCAGCTAATGGCGCTTATGCTAACACAAAATGTCCGCCGTTATCCTATCAAAAAGTGCTTCAACTGTAACGAATCCCAAAGTCTCTTCTGGGTTCAACAGCAAATAAAGCTGGCGATATTTAAAAAAGAAAATCTAGAGACAGATGTTCATTTGGTCCAATCAGGTGTGGCTCTTGAGAAACACGTTGCTTTTGAAACGCTGCTTCATCTGCCGTCTGTCTGAAGTTCAGCCAAACTAACCATTTCCGTGGTTCTTCACTTCTCCCCTTTGCCTTCAAGCACATATTTCTTTGGTAGTAAGTTGTGGCTCCTGCAGTCGTTATGTGATAATCAGTCGATGTTAGAGGACCGCTACTCTGTCCAAAGTCCAAACATTTCTCACTGTAAGCTGAACACAAACCTGCTGCCGCTTTAGACCCAAACATCCTCTCTGTGACCACTGATCAGCCGGCATGAAGCCAGAGCTCCAAATGCTGGACAGTCGGATGTATTCACAAGTTGAATGTGACGTAAATGTGATTCTGAAGACGCCACTGTAGTGCTACCTGCATGTGGAGCAGAGCGGCGACCGCAGACAACACAAGGAAAGTCGGAACCGTCTCACTTCAGGAAAAAGAAACAGAAATTTCCAGTAAATTGTGAAATCAATCTCCGGGACTCCAACACCTGTTGTTAGTTTAGTTAGAGCTTCGATCTGTTTTTGGCTGTGAAAGCCTCCATTGATTAGAAATCTTCACTTTTCTGAAGTTCTTTATTTTGAAAGACGTAACAGACCTGAGCTTCCCTCTCACAGCAGCTGATGTCGACTCGTTTTGTTTGGCATTCAGTAACGTAATCATTTCGCATATTTCACCACATTCAGACGCTTTTAAAGATTTGCATATTGTAACCCTGGCAATGACTTTTTCAGCGTTGACAAAAGCAGAAAATATCCAGGAAGTATTTCCGTCGGTACAACCTTCCTCGGTCCGAAGTCCCGTCAAAACCAGAAATATTCCTCATTTTAGCAAGATTTCAAAAAACCTAAAGCCTGTTACCATATTTATACCTCATTAAAACCCAAATCTGTTCTCTTAAATAAAGACGGTTTACAGTAAAACGGTGAAAATCTATTCAGAATTTTACATGTTGCCTGGAGGAAACATGGTTCGTGTCTTTTTAGCAAGTCATAATCGGCCAGAGGAGCAAAGTTTTCTATTTTTTATGGTCATACAAACGTCAACATGGGACAAAATGAGTCTGGATTGAACATTTCGTCTTTTGGAAGATTTAAAACGTTCCTCAAAATTTGCCTGATGATTGGATGAAAGCATCCAATCTGCACTTTGACCTGAAGCGCAACTAACGCACTGCCAAAGCCAAGCTCCGCCCCCGGCCAGCAAAGTGGGCGGAGCCAAGAGACAGGTGAGTGAGGGGCTGAGATCAGAATGCAACAATCGCTGGTGTCAACTTGTCCACTTTCAATTTATTCATTGTTTCAAATCCAGCAACTCTTTCAGTCTTGGAGATTTTATTGGCAACAGTCCTGAGCTAGCAGCGAGAGCCGCCATTAGTTAGCTATTATTAGCCACAGTTAGCCGTCATTAGCTGCTGTTAGCCACAGTTAGCCATCATTAGCTGCTGTTAGCCACAGTTAGCCGTCATTAACTGCTGTTAACCACAGTTAGCTGTCGTTAGCCACAGTTAGCCGTCATTAGCTGCTGTTAGCCACAGTTAGCCATCATTAGCTGCTGTTAGCCACAGTTAGCCGTCATTAACTGCTGTTAACAACAGTTAGCTGCTGTTAGCCACAGTTAGCCGTCATTAGCTGCTGTTAGCCACAGTTAGCCATCATTAGCTGCTGTTAGCCACAGTTAGCCGTCATTAACTGCTGTTAACCACAGTTAGCTGTCGTTAGCCACAGTTAGCCGTCATTAGCTGCTGTTAGCCACAGTTAGCCATCATTAGCTGCTGTTAGCCACAGTTAGCCGTCATTAACTGCTGTTAACAACAGTTAGCTGTCGTTAGCCACAGTTAGCCGTCATTAGCTGCTGTTAGCCACAGTTAGCCATCATTAGCTGCTGTTAACCATAGTTAGCTGTTGTTAGCCACAGTTAGCCGTTATTAGCTGCTGTTAGCCACATTTAGCCGTCATTAGCTGCTGTTAGCCACAGTTAGCCGTTATTAGCTGCTGTTAGCCACATTTAGCCATCATTAGCTGCTGTTAGCCACAGTTAGCCATCATTAGCTGCTGTTAACCATAGTTAGCTGTTGTTAGCCACAGTTAGCCGTCATTAGCTGCTGATAGCCACATTTAGCCGTCATTAGCTGCTGTTAGCCACAGTTAGCTGTCGTTAGCTGCTCCACTCTGTCAAATAAGTTACATATTTGTAAAGCAGAGTATCGATCAGTGGTCACCTGTCGCCATGCTAGCCACTGACCTGTCCAGAGAGGAGCGCTGTGCTTTTATACAGGAAGTGATAAAGTTTTACTAATCTGCTGGAACCAAAATAAAAATTCAACGTTACCATTTGAAGCGAATAAATCCAGACTAGAAGAAAAAGTCAAAATAATCAGTTTGGACAATTTTATCAAACAAAAAGTCGACTTCACTTTCTGCTCTCTTTCAACCAGATGCACTTTAACTCAACTTTGAGTACAAAAGGGTATGAATACTTCTGCACCTATAATGTTTACTTTGTACAACACAATACTAGGGTCACACTAAGAAAATACAAATATAAAATTAGTGGAATAACGTCAGAGTATTACATCATACTGCAACTTTGTTCTTGATTATTCCCAAAACTTCGACTTCGTTCTCTCATCTCTTGTTATACTGTCAATTTATCTTTGTATTATTTTGACTTGATTCTGGTGATTTTATATTTTATTCTTGTAATTTTGTCTTTTTTTATTTTTATTAGTATGTCCCAAACGCTTGGTAGGAAACTGTCTTTTTAAATGTCTGAATATATATATTTTCCTCTTTATGGGTATTTTTAGTTCCTTTTTTTTATTATTTTTTTTACAAGAATTTCTTCAAATAGGTTTTAGAAAAAGTTTCCAAGTTAAAAATCATGGAGACTGCAAAAAGATGTGAAAAACATCTGCTGACACTTTACATTATAATGAATATTTTCCTTCATTGGACCAAATCTTTCTTGTCCACCCTAGAAAGAGAAATATTCAGTGATTTTGCTGCTGTCTTATGAATACAGTTTGAAAATATCCTGTTTATTTCAGGTAGATTCTAAATGATGGCTAATGGCTGATCCTGCTTCTCTCTGGATCATTTCCTTTCATATGAGGCTGCAGGCGCTGTTCTGCCGCACCATTCAGCAATTATCCTGCAACAATTTGTCTACTCTCAAAAGCATTAACTGTCGGATTATGAAAGATTAGATTTCACTTACCTGAATAAATGCCTCATGCAGTCCAGATGGGATGCCCTCCAGGGTTAAATGGCATTTAGGTGGAAGGATATTGAAGATATATGTATATATTTTTAATAGTCTAATAGTTTTACCTATTTGCTTGAACTAAAAACGCTGAGAGATATTCTTGAAAGGCTTGATAAGATTAGCATTTATATTAGTAGGAAAGCGGCATACTTTCCTCAATCTGGATTATTTATTGCAAGATTAATGAATATAAAGAAATGTGCTGGGAAGTTTGACAGAAGTTTCATAACTAAAAAGGAAATTTAAAACCAGATAAATATGAAAGTACAACAACCTGCAGCTGAGTAGCTTAGCTCAGTCATAAAGACATTTCTGTTGAAGCGAACTCTGTGGCAACATCAAGCTTCACAATGAAATTCACAAAAAGGGATTTTCTTGTAACTTTGTTAAAGTTAATGAGGTTGGCCGATCAATAAATCCTGTATGAGAATAAAGTGTTGGTTTTAAACGCCTTCGAAAGCAGCAGCTGATAAAAGTTTTCCTCTGAAGCCCAATTGGCGCCGGACGCTTTAGCTGGACGGGTTTCATCTTTAGAGCGTTTATCAGTTTTCCATCAGATTGCACGAAACTAAGCGTGCTACCTTAAAAATCTCTATCTATATGCAACTGCTGAAAGAAAATCACTTGCATAATTTTTCAAAGAATGAAACTGTAACCACTTTTGAAATGTTTTAACTGAACCATCAAAAGACAGACCATGAAAAGATATGAGAAAATCTATTAGCTTTTATTTGTAAAGTATTTACATGTTAAATGTTGCAGTTTTTGAATCGATTTAGGTTTAAAGAGTTTAACAAGCTTCTCTGTCACAAATAAAATAAATTTCAGATTGCTGCTCATCAGGTAATGCAAGAAAATAAAGAAATGCTACCAATGAAATAAAGGGATTAAATTTCCTTTTGACTTGGATTTGTTTTAAAAATCTACGTTTTGAAAATTATTCATACATAAATGTACCAAAGGCACTTTATATTACATATGAAATGAGTAAATATATACTGTGTTAACCACCCTAAATCAGGCCTTTATGAGAACAAAGTCTAAATATTTAGTCATCATTTCTTTGAAACCAGTTCAGTCTTTAATTGAGCTGAAGTTTCCAAAGACAAGGTACAAAAATCATATTTTGTTGGCACATTTCAGGAGGTTAAGTAAAAATAGGGATATTTTCTGTCATGTTATTACTGTTATTCACTGTTTGGTTACATGTTAAACTCAACTGTAATATGGGTTACAGTTGAGTTTATTGATTTATTTCCATTTTGTTTGAAAGCCAAACCAATATAAAAAGGTTTAGACCTTTAAAACTAATATAAATATAAGCTCATGTCAAACTGCATCACTGTCATTTCAAGTGGTTAAAGGGACCAAGTTGGCAAATGTTGAAAGATAAGTGAAAGTTGTCAACAAATGTATATTTTATTATTCAGAGAGTTTTGGTAAAATACATTCCTTCCACTTTTTTCCAAGCATTTTGATTTGAGAAGGAAAACAAGGTGATTTTTTTGTTTCTCCTTTTATTCCCATTTTGAGCAAAGTGGCTGTTTTCAGATGAACTATTGACATTAGAACTGTAATTTCAACATCCACCACAGAACCGGGTTAGCAGTAAAGCCACCGGTTCCACTGGTTTCACTGGTTTCGCTGGTTCCACTGGTTCTGCTGGTTCCACTGGTTTCACTGGTTCCTCTGGTTCCAAAGTAAAAGCCATTTGATTCTCCTTTTGGAGCAAAGTCACAACATTTGTGTGTAAATGGCTGAAAATGCAGGCAAAGTGAAAAACCATCATTTAATCTATTCCTTTGTTTCTTCTGCGTATAACTGATCATAGATCTACAGGATGGTACATTTATTTATTATGAATTTGTTTCAGGACTCGGCAGCTCTCACTCGGTACGAAACCTTCACATTTTAGCACACAGATAAACGGAGATGAGGTTTTTTTATTATCGATCTGTCGTAGCTTAGCCGCTTTCTCACCCAGACATCAACAGTAATAGAGATAAATATGTTATTTACCCAAAACTCATCAATCAAAATGTTCACAGTCCCAGTTCAAATGAAAGCAAGCAAGATGTCACTGCAGTTCATTAGCATGTAAAACATCAGAAAAACAGGAAAATCAAGAATCTGCTGTGGAGTTTCAGTCTCAACTGTTGAACCATAAATGAAATATTTTCAGCAGTTTTTATCCAATGTGTTTGCTTAAAACTCATAAATGTTTGGATGACCCTGTACTTTGAGTCTTATTGCAAAAGTCCAAAAGAAATCCAATAACATTAAATAGAAATTAATTCAATGTTCTGGTTTCCAACTGCCTTGTTTTGGAGCACAGCACTTAAAATGGATAACTTTGACATTTTTTGAATATGAAGGCATTTAAATCTTTTAGTTTTGAAATGAAAAACCAATAAAGTGAATAAATCTGGTTACTTTGGTGTCATAATTAGTAAAATTCATTGTGGTCATTTTCCACTGCTTATCAGGTACATCAAAAAAGAGAACATGAAAACTAAATGCATATAACAGAATTCAAATGTCATCAGATGAAAACATTTCTTCAGTGTTTGAAGTTAAAAAGTGAAATCCAAAAGGAACCGAAGAGCAACAGTGGAGACGAGAGATTTGATGTAAAATCAGGGAAAGATTTGTGATCAAAACAAGATTTCATGTTTCAAAGACATGAACACGTTTCGTAGTCTCAGTGTAAAATCATCGTTGACAGAAAAAAAGTCTGAATAAATTTCTGCCAAAAAAATGTCTTAAAAGTCAAAAATTTCTAGAAAAACCAAGAACATTTCTGAGCTCCAAAAGTTAAATATTTTAGAAAAACACTCCCAAAATTTGAGTCCAACATTTTTAACTTTTGAAACTCAGATTCTTTTTTTTTTTTTTTTTTTTAGAAAATTTTAGAGATTTATCTCTAAATTTCTGAGTTTTTTTGGATGTAATTTTTGACTTGGAGCTCAGGAATTGCTTTAATTTTTAGAACATTTCTGAGATCAATCCAACTTTTTGCTTTATTTTAGCAGCAGTTTTCTCCTTTTTTCTGTTCAGTGGCCGTCAGACTGTCACAGGCGGTGAAGAGAAATTTAAACTGATCGTCAATAAAAAATTGAAACCCGTTCACAGCATAAGCAATAAAATAATGGTGCAGAAGTTCAGCTCTGCTTCGTTTGTGTCCGACTGTTGGGCCCATCATGACTGTGTGCATTTACACAACCAGGTTCTTTTCTCCTTTGTAAGCAATAAGGATGTTTCATTTCAAATAAATAAAGGCTCTCTGTGGGTTTGTCTTCTGCTCAAGGATGCAATAAAATGCCATAATTACAGAAAGATGCAGCTTGATTTTTACCTCTCCTGAAATACAAACAGGCCCAATCTGCTGCTGTCAGATGGAAAAAGTCAAAGTTTAGAAAACTGCAAGCTGGCAGACGTTCCAGACCTTTGCTAGTTTGCTGTGCAGCGAATCAGCTGATGGGGTCAGAGGTTAACCCCACATTCTGGTCCTCCAGGCTTGAAGACAAATCCCACAATTGGTTGTGCTTCAACATGCAGGTTAAGTGAAGAAGAAAACAGGAAAACACATGTTGAGTACCTGTACTATCTGTGTTTCTGTAGTATATAAATATGTGTACTGTAACTGGTGAATAATGTATATATATATATATATATAGATATATATATATATATACAGAAATATAAACATAAAGAGTAGACAAAGTCTCTGACTGATGCTTTTGTCTAAATTACTTCAATTGATTTTAGATTAAAGCACTTTTATGATTTATTTTATCAGAATGAAACTTAAAAAGTGAATTTGGGGGGAATATTAGCACCATCGTGTATTTAAAATCTGTTTGAACAGATTTGTTTACTTTGCATCTGAATATTTGTTCCCACTGATTCAGATTCTTCCTCTGTCGACCACATGATGCTGCAAAACAACTTTATTTCATTTTATTTTAGAATCTGTCACTTAAACGCCACAATATGGCAAAGCATCTGAACTGATGAGGTGGTATCATTCGATGCTTCCTGGGTTTGTCTTGAAAGCCAAACTGCCAGTGGAGTGGAAGCAGAAAACATGTTCAGGTAGAAGTGACATAACCAGGCTGTTACATAAAGCGCTTCACTGAAGCCAGCAGACGCTCACATTTCTGCTGTACACGTTTCTCCATCATTCCTTGTTTTTTATTCCTTCATTTGCAGCAATTTGGAAAAACAAATGTTGGGAAAGCTTTAAGAGTCCGATTGAAATATGGATTCACATTGTTAAACTTGAAGGAATGTGAACGATTTACACCTTCCAAACAACTCCTTCTATGTTAACAATATGAAATCATGAGATTGTTCAAAAAATAAATAAAGCAAGCAAGGCCAATTATGAAAAATAAAATTTATCCTTTCAACTCTTCTTTCAAGTCTGCAGCTGAAAAAAGGTTTTCAAAAAACTGTTTCCAGTAAATCCACTTTTTTGTATTGTTAACTTAAAATGTTCAATGAATTTTAATAGTGAAGAATATGATTCATTTACAGCAATGTGTAGTGAAATTGCTGTTAATGCATCAACATTAACAAGAACAAAGAGCCTTTAGGAATGAGACGGAGTCACTGAGGGGGAAACAGAAAGAAGAAGATCAGGAAGAATCTGGAGAACAAACTGCAGGAACAAAATGAGAGACAGACAGGAAGGAAGAGGATCTGATGGACGGAAGCTTGGAAGGAGCAAAAGAGCTGAAGACATTCAGACAGCTTCAGGATCATCATCATCATGAAGATCATCCTCTGACCCACATGTGTTGAAAAACATTTTATTTTTTAGACAGAAATTATCCCTTGATTGATGAATGTTGCATTTTGGGAACATTCAAAGTAAAATCACCTTCTGCCTGAAGTGGGACTAGAAAACAAGGTGAAACTTCATGATGACTGATGTTTCCAGTTTAATGAACAAAATACTCTTTATTCCAGCTGCTAAAGCCCAAAGTCGGCCTTCCTAAAATATGCTACAATATTTACATTTCAGTTTGGATGACAGTTAGAAATCCATCGTGTTCAGAGCTTAAAGATTCAGGATCAATCTTCAGAATCAGCTGAAGACGAATAAATCCATCAAGAAAAACCAGCAGCAAAATTGCTTTGATGCTGGAGATTTGCTTCATTCCAGACTTAGCGGCACTTTTCTTAAACTGTCCCAAAAATAAAAATGAGGGGAAATTACACCGGCAGTTGCAATTTTTATTTTATTACTTAATAACAGAAAACCTGGAGGAAAGGTTCAAGGTGTTTGATTCAGACGGCCGTTTCATGGATTTGCTAGAGAAAACTCTGACTTCAACTCCTGGGAGGGTTTGGCACTTCCCAAAGCAAACTGGACCAACCGCATCGGCCCGGTAAGCAGCAACAGATACAAGAGCCAGAAAAGAAAAAGAAGTGAAAAGATACTCCAGAAGGTCCAGAGTGACGGTCCAGAGTGACGGTCCAGAGTGACGGTCCAGAGTGACGGTCCAGAGTGAAGGTCCAGAGTGACGGTCCAGAGTGACGGTCCAGAGTGACGGTCCAGAGTGACGGTCCAGAGTGAAGGTCCAGAGTGAAGGTCCAGAGTGACGGTCCAGAGTGAAGGTCCAGGGTGACGGTCCAGAGTGAAGGTCCAGGGTGAAGGTCCAGGGTGACGGTCCAGGGTGACGGTCCAGAGTGAAGGTCCAGAGTGACGGTCCAGAGTGACGGTCCAGAGTGACGGTCCAGGGTGACGGTCCAGAGTGACGGTCCAGAGTGACGGTCCAGAGTGACGGTCCAGAGTGAAGGTCCAGAGTGAAGGTCCAGAGTGAAGGTCCAGAGTGACGGTCCAGAGTGACGGTCCAGGGTGACGGTCCAGAGTGACGGTCCAGAGTGACGGTCCAGAGTGACGGTCCAGAGTGACGGTCCAGAGTGACGGTCCAGAGTGAAGGTCCAGAGTGAAGGTCCAGAGTGAAGGTCCAGGGTGACGGTCCAGGGTGACAATCCAGAGTGACGGTCCAGAGTGACGGTCCAGAGTGAAGGTCCAGAGTGACGGTCCAGAGTGACGGTCCAGAGTGACGGTCCAGAGTGAAGGTCCAGAGTGACGGTCCAGAGTGACGGTCCAGAGTGACGGTCCAGAGTGACGGTCCAGAGTGAAGGTCCAGAGTGACGGTCCAGAGTGACGGTCCAGAGTGACGGTCCAGGGTGACGGTCCAGGGTGACGGTCCAGAGTGAAGGTCCAGAGTGACGGTCCAGGGTGAAGGTCCAGAGTGACGGTCCAGAGTGACGGTCCAGAGTGAAGGTCCAGAGTGACGGTCCAGGGTGAAGGTCCAGAGTGACGGTCCAGAGTGACGGTCCAGGGTGACGGTCCAGAGTGACGGTCCAGAGTGACGGTCCAGAGTGAAGGTCCAGAGTGACGGTCCAGAGTGACGGTCCAGAGTGACGGTCCAGGGTGACGGTCCAGGGTGACGGTCCAGAGTGAAGGTCCAGAGTGACGGTCCAGAGTGACGGTCCAGAGTGAAGGTCCAGAGTGACGGTCCAGGGTGAAGGTCCAGAGTGACGGTCCAGGGTGACGGTCCAGAGTGAAGGTCCAGGGTGACGGTCCAGAGTGAAGGTCCAGGGTGACGGTCCAGAGAACAACGATGGAAAGCATCAACATCTTCACAGACCTCATTGCAGAGGTGATGAAAGATCACAAGGAGTTTGATTTCTGTTTCCTGCATGTCAATGTTTTACACATGCTGGTCAAACCAAAACATCTGACTCACCAAAAGCGGCAGCCATATTGTTCGGCAACCATGTTGTTGACAAGCACATCCAGTTTCTACCAGCCTCAGATGGGAGGCGACGTACGGATTTAACAAACGGTGAGACTGAATAACTCAGTCTGCTTTCTATTCACCATATTGTTGAGCTATTTTGACATTTCACAAATAAATTTTCCAAATGGAAACTGAAGAGTTTTTCAATGTTAGGGTGCCAAAACAATCACTTGGTGAGCTGTTGTTGTTTTATTTCTAAAAACTGTAATGGAAACATTTTGCATCAGACGAATGACTAACCCTAACCCCTAACCCCTAACCTTTATAAACAAAGACAGGAAGTAGTTTCAGGCTGATGGTGCAGCACTTATTATCTGAACAATCTTATCTATGCAGGATTTTAATTTGAATTGTGTTTCTTATTTAATGAAAACAACAAAATTGCTAAATTGTTTTTGACATTAGGACAAAGTTTTGGTCATATTTGCTACAGCGTGAAATAAAAACATCTGAGTGTGACTCAAACTTTTGACTGATTAAAACCAGCAAAAAGAAAAAAAACTCCCAACATGAAACAGTTCAGTCCAGACAAAATGTAACACCTGAGATTTATATACTAAAAGTTCAACTTACTTTTCAAAATGAATTGACATTTTAAGCTACCTGG